TGCATCGGACTGTGCGATAGTGTAGAAGAAGTGAACAGTGTATATAAATAATCAGAAGAGATGAACTGTGTAAATAAATAATCAAGAAAACGGAGTCGTAAGGAAAATAATCAAGTGAAGAACAGAAGGGCTGTGTAGTATATCTGTAAATAAATCAAGTATTTTTGGTGTAGTTAAAAACCGAAATAAACGTTTTGTTAAAATTTTACCTGAGTGTGTTTTAATTCACCACGGAGAAACGGTACACGAGATTTCAAGGGAAATACCTGTTTATGGTCCCCTGAAATCGAAAAAGTGTTTGCGTTTTCAAAACGTCTGTCCGTCTGTCTGGTGTATGTGAACAACACTTGCGACTAAACCATGAGGATTTTTTTCCAAATTGAAGAAGCAGCTGTCCATTTGGCCTGAGTCGAAGATCTGTGGTTTTGAAAATCTTTCATTCGTTTTTGGGGGTACTTTACATGAAGCCCTTGGGACATTTTCAAGATTTTCTCAAAAATGGCTCCAAATTTTTTCTCTAAATTTCTTAAAGAAAATTTATTAAAATGTCAACAAAAATGTAGTTTGAGCGGCGATAGACCACAGCTGGCAAAAGTATGTGGCAAGTTCGAAAAGTTTGCCAGATCAAATTAAAAACAAAACTAATACGAGAATGTCTGTGCCATTCTGTAACACCACTAATTCTTTCTATAACTGTTTTTAGGTCGTTTCTCGTTATTTTTAATTCTAATATTATGGGATGAGACAGGAGTAGAACGAGTGAATTGAGAAGGGCCAGAAAACGTTGTTGAATCGTTCATTTTACTTGAAAACACAAGTTAAAATTGTAAAGAATTATTTATATGTAAATCAAACATTACGTTTGGGCACATTTTCACACATTTTGTACTATAACAAATAATTTTAATCAATGTAGCAACCAGATTTTTTGCTGAATATAAATGTAATGTGAAATTGTTAAAACATAGTTATTTGTAGCATAAGGAAGTTAGATATTAAATTATTTTCGATACACTAATTTAAATATTTTCTGTGATATATAAATGATTATCGGTTAATACATTTAGTTGAGCGCCGCGAATAGCCTTTTGACCGTCCTTTTATAATGCAACTCGATAATTCATCTCACGATTGTGTGTTGCAGAGATCCCTGCAAATATTATCAGGCGACGTTAATATTACCCCGGACGCCAAGGTAAAGGAGACAAAGAAAAAAGATTCAGAAGGGAAAGATGATACAAAAGAAAAGAAACGAGGAGAAAGAAGAACCGGAAATTCTGCTGTCATCCTGTTTGATGCAACCTGCTTGACTTTGGTGCATTACACCGCGATCGTGCTGCAGAGACCCTCGCACTGCGATATAGTTAGCTGAGAAACCGAGCAGAAAAAATAAAAGAGAGAAAAAAAACGACAAACGTACAAGAAGAGATGAAGACAACGAAGAAGACATTCAAGGGGAAGACAGTCAATGAAAAAACGGCGGAGAACAAGACGGACCAGAACAAAAATAAAGAGACTAAAGAAGACTGAAGGAAAACACAATGAGAAGATGGATAAGAAAAAGGACAAGAAAACAGATGAAAAAAGGAGTATAAGACATACAAGGTGAACGGGAAGGCGGCGAAAGAGAGGAGGAGACGGAGAGAAAGAGGGGAAGGAGACGGTAGAGGAGACGGAGGAGAAGTCAGAAAAGGAGACGGTGAAGGGGAAGAAGTTGGCGAAAAAAACAACAACAGAGAGAATGTGAAGGAGACTTGGAAGAAGATGGTGAAGAAAACAGTGAAGAAGTGTGAGGAGATGGAAAAGGCAGGGAAGGTAGTGAAGGTGACGATGAAATGATAGTGAAGACGACGGTGAAGGAAACAGGAAAAAGGGAGAGGAGGAGATGAAAACTCGAGAGTAGAAAAGAAGTAAAATAGAATACCTGACATAGCCCAATACTGTATTCTGAATTTGCGTAACGTGTCACGTTTTTTGCATACAATTTTCTTCCTGGGTAATAAAGCCTCTGGGTAGCGTGGGCACGACAGTATTCCATATCTTACGTTAGAGTCAACACCAAGAGGTTAAAACTAGTGGTGCTGTGAAAAGACAAAAATGTTTTCACTGTACTTAGTTTTCTATTATCTTCAGTCTAGCCTTTAGTTTTGCCCCCACCATCTTCCATCTGCCATCTACAGATGTCTAAAGGACATTTTTTTACGTTACTTCAATTTTTCGGTCGTTTAATGGCAGGACTAAAATATGACTTTAAGAATAATGTAAAAGAATAAAACCTGGCCTGTATGCATATTTTCGTTGAAAAATTTGGAGTCATCTTCGAAGAAAAACGTTTTTGAGTGTGTCTGAATATGCAATATGGAGCTAATTTTCACAGGTAATGTTTGAGTTTCCGCGAAAACTCATTGGAAATCAATTAATGCACTAACACAAATTCAATAATGTAAAAAAGACCGTAATGTAAATATTAACGTCGTGAAATATAATAAAAAATATATTAGTGAAATGCAAAAAATATCTCAAAATGGCATTAATGACATTTTATTCAATGCATTTACCACTATCCGAACAAAATGTTTAAAGAAAAAATGGAACAGTTTGTGAGAAAATGTCGTTCGAGAGTTTCTGAAAATGCAGAAACGTTTGAGTTTTCGAGAAACTTTTTACAACATAATTTGAATCACTTGATGTCGCAATTGCAATAATGTATTCAAATATCGGGTAATGTAAATATAAACTATGTGAGAGATATATAAAAAAAATACATTTATGGAATTTTTGAAATAACAAAAGAATAGTGTAAAATGGAGTGTGTGCCATCCTAGGCACTGGATTTAGCACTATCGGCACAAAATTTTGAAAAAAAATTGGAGACGTAGAGATTTGTGAGAAAATATATTTTTTAATATTGACCATATTTCACTCAAAATTGCACGAAAACCACAAATGCATTCATAACAATTAACATGACTTTAATTAAAGAACTAATTGTGGAAAACAAATTTTATTTGAAGAAAACATAGCCCTCCATCTTCAACATTGAAGTTGTACAAAGACGCAGAGAAAATCAAATTTTTGTAATTTTTCAAAAATTAAAAGTTAATAGTGACAATTGGAGTATGACATCTTTGTAAGTGTATTTCTCTTATTCTTACAAGAAATGTAAGAAACATTTGGAGCCATTTTTGACAAAATTTCGAAAATTCCCCAGGGTTTCATGTAAAGTACCCTGAAAATGTAAAGAAAGTTTTTCAAAACCGCTGAGTTTCTAATCGGGTCAGATCGAGCGGAGAATATTCATTCTGAAAAAATCCTACGAATATTTTAGGCACAAGTGCTGTTCAGAAGAACGAACTGACTGACGAACGTTTTAAATAGAAAGAAAAAACAGCCCCTTTTCTCGATCACGGAACCCCAAAGCATGTATTTTCGTTGAAATCTCAAAATCGATTTTCCTCAGCATTTCTTTACATTACATATAATACTCCGTATATAAGTACATATACGAGAAAGTTAAAAAAGTGAAATTTAAAAGATCAAATAAATCATAATTCAATCAAAGTTATTAACTTAAAATGATGTTACAAAGAGATTGGTTAATTTCTTTAAATTTACATTTGACAACAGTTTTACCAACAATTATTCAATTTAGATGTATACATCTAAATTGAGCTAACATGAAATATACATAAAGTGGTAGAAGATATTACTAATAATTTTGTATAATAAGAGGGAACAAATTAGTATGCAACATTAAAGTAATAAACGATATCAGTAAAATAATGTAAATAACCGAATGAGTGAAAAACAGAACGGTGTAAGTGACATTTTATAAATTCCGAGAAAACATGATATTTTAGACTATATTTCAGAGACAATGTATTTTCATAGTTTAATTAACAATTAGAATGCCGTTATTTTAATGATGAAACTAAGCATAACGACTTTACAGTGCTATTGACTTCAATAAACAGATTTCTCATAATGTATAAAATGTCACATCTACTGTTCTGGTTTTCATCCATTCAATTAAAATATGTCCACTTCCTTATTCAAATTCGCAAAAATTAAAATTGAGAATTTGTGTCATCGCCTTCTGAGGTGGGGATAGCTGCTAGTGTCTCATGAGCCTCTTGCCCACCATGTTCGTCGTGTTATTCTTTAATACGAATTGTTCGTAATAAGCTTTTACTTAAGGTTTTTCAAGTTAAAACGTTTGTATTCTTTGGAAAGCAACACAAAGAAAAGCTGCAGATGGCAATGCCTATCTATAACAATTCTTGAAAATTAGGGAAGACTATTCAAAATGAAGAGTTATCTTGAACCCTATATCCAGTAAGGACCAAAATAGTTAAAGGAAACTACGATGAGTACCTACCAATTAGTCACTTCAGAGAGTTAGTTACAGTTAGAGAGAGAGAGAGAGGGGGGGGAGAGAGGGAGAGAGTGGGAGACCGCGAGAATGACATGGAAGAAAACTAAAAATTCCGAAATTTCTATGATCATTAGATAATTTCATGAAAGTAAGAACTTGTTGAGTTGTACACAAGTATTGTAGTCAACTTGGATCAATTAGTAACAAGAATCCCAATGAACCCACTTCCATTCATGGCTATGAACTACAGAGTAAATGAAGAAGGAATATTGTCAGATCGAAAGGAAAAACGGGTACTGGAACAGAATTCATGATATAAACCTTTTGGAAAGGAGAAGGAAAAAGAAGAAGAAAATAAATTCTTAACAATGATGCAGTGTTATATGTGATAAACGATTTACTCGCTAAAGTACTCAGGACAACTACACTTATGTTGTGGTTTATTAGGGTGTTCATGGCATCATTGAAGTATCAGTGACTACAACAGATGGAGTTGCTTGTGTTAATATTGTCTGATAATCTGATAGCATGTTATTTGTAGCGTAACAGACCACATCACTTGTTGCATGTCCTAAGAACAAGTACAAAGGAGATCAATCGCACAGTATAAGATTTCGCTTCAAAGAAAACCAGGATACGTGCTTCAGCTTTTTGTTGTTGTTGTTGCTGTTTTTACCTTCGTTTTTTAATGTTGTTTTTTTTCCTTTGTCTCGACAACCCGATACGGGCCTTGGCCGACCAGCGATGGCCCAGCCTCTCGGCCATGGGTTAAGGGGTCCGTGTAGTTAGCACGAAGACATTTCTCCACCTTTTCCCTCATAATACTGGACGTAATAATTCCAAACATAATGACGTATGTATTTAAGACAAGTACACACACACAACTGCACGCTTAGCATGAGTTATATATGTCCACTGCACACAAACTATATTTCAATCTCCTTTAGTGAGACTAATGTCTCTTCCATGTGGAATATACTCCGCTAAACGGAGCAATCTATCACTCCGAAACAGATGAGAAAATAGAGTACAACTTAAAACTGCTCTCTTGATGATAGTATTCTTGAAAACATTATTAATATAGCAAGAACGAAATACTGAAGATCGCTGCATCAGAAAAGAAATCAAATCAAAAATCGCTCATCGATTAGTGTCTTTCTTGCCAGATTTCTTTTCCCACCAATTATTCTCACAGTAACAAGAATCTGTAAAGAAATGAAAACATATGATTAATAAATAGAGAATTCGATATTTACAAAATTCGTTGAATTACACTTCGTCAGAGAATATTTTAGAACTGATTCAAAACTGAATTTATCATTGAAAACGAACGATCAAGGGAACTTACATTACATCCAGGATTCGATATTCGAACCTCCTTTAAAGTGTCTTAACCCTTCTTTTTTTGCGAAACCGAAGGCGTCAATAAAGATTGTGGTCAGTAATTAACTACTGATAATACCGTAAATTAATGTATAGTATATGAATATTTATCTAGTAAGTAATGAATAAAATACACTGGTGGAACCTAGATAAACTCTATAATGTTAAGAAACCAAGATTACGTTTTTACGTTCTCGAGAACCTCTAGTGATGTTCATAATTATGTACTCATGTCAAGGTAAAAATGTGTATCTCAAGCCCACCATAGGAGCTTACTGTGGAAGTGGAATCTGTGTTCCAAACCCTGGAAGGAATACAGGGCTGAACTCTCACTAGAAAATGATCGTAGATACGCCAAATTATCTACGGAGAAATAGGAACCAAGTGATGGCGCAGGTGGACGAGAATTTGCTCCGTTCATAGAAAAATGAAACAAGTTAAAGCAACCTCTTTTGAGATAATACGGACCTCGTAAACCCAAAACACCGATATATTTGTGTAGAAAAGTATAGTTTAATAATTTTACCACCTGTGTCTCTTTTCAATTTACGAATGTCACCATTTTATTCCACAAACAAATGACAGTTGTATGGCCTCAGTTTTGATGTATTAATTGATTGAGTAGCGACCCTGGGGACACGTGTTCAATTCATTGCGACACATCTCCACTGGAGTCTTCACAAACGGTCTGAGTATTGCGAGATCCTCAAGAACGACCACAACTACTCTCATCCTGCCTTCTCTTTTATGGCTTCGCTCTCATTCAATTATACAAACTGTTCGTCTTCCCCATCCTGGCATGCCGACAACGTCCACAAATACTTCTATACACGGCACGATTCCAGAAATACCCGACTCTTCCCTGGGCAGCATGGTGATTGATAAGGAATCATGAATTTCCTTCGCCAGCAATCGCTTCATACAGGCACGGTGCTTTTGATTTTTTGGCTTTTTTGTCACTGTGTACATGCCCCTATGTATGGGTATGTAAGGGTACATGAGTCATTCTACATTTTATCATTCGAAAAATTATTGATCTCCTGCGACCTGGTTTAAACTCTATAATTTTTTTCAATTTCCATGTACAAATTCTTAGAACAACCTTCATTTACAGTTAATTGATTCATAATTTTAATAATGTCAATTCAGCGAAAAGGCGGTAGCTGTTCCTATTTCTATGAATGTTTAAACATCACTTTAATAAGTTAATATTTCTAAAATGGAACTAGCAGAGAGCAACATTTGATTTCATCGGGAATTGAACTCGTGACTTTCCAATGACATCTCTTCATCTACCCGTACGTATTCTACGCTAATATTCAGAATGTTCTTAAACACAGACATTTCCTCAATTTAAGTTATTGCTAAGTATTTAAGCCTCTTTAAGAGCAATTATATATCTAAGTCCCTTAATATTATGAAAATACTTTAAAATTTAATCCTTCAGGTACTTCATCTTCGATTTTTATGTTTGACAGCTCAAATCCTGGAAAGCTGACCATCTCTAATCCTTTTTAAATATTCAGAGAAAAGTAATTAAATATATGTAGTTATTGGTAAGTCAAGATAAAAGATCAAAATAGTTGCATTTTCTTTTTGAGGAATATGGTAATATCATTGGATCAAGTAATCTTGTAAAGAAAGAAAACTTCATTTACTTCCTGCGGCGTTTCGCAATTCAGGTAGTACATTTGTTTGCAAGTGATAATCCGATGATACAGAATTCGATGTCGGAACTTGAAAATTACGCAAAATCCTTGAGTATTATGTAAATTTTAAAATGTTGTAATATATCATATTGAAAAAAGAAGGTTTGTTTGTTGTTTGGTTCGTACTTGATGCGCTGCCGTATAGTTCTTCCGATTGCGATATAACTTTGTGACAATTTATTGCTTTCACTTGTGGGTATAGGCATAGTGCGTTCAGAATGTGCATACTCCTGCGCATGTACACGCGCGTTGATTTCATGCTGACCCAAGCACTCCTGTTCACACTCTCAACGCAACCCGCAAAACCCTGGAGTATTAAGATTGTCTGACCCTGCGATTGTGAAATTTCGCCCCGGAGAGACAGGTATACAGAGAGACTGAGGCAGACATAGACGTAGAGAGAGAGAGAAGTAAACAGAAAGGAAGCGAGAGACGGGGAGATGGAGAAGAAAATGGACAGGGAGACAGACGGAGAGAGAGGGAGAGGGAAGGAGAAAGAGATGGTGGACTGCCGGGTTCCGCTAGTATTATCATGTTAAGATGAGCATGATTGTATCGATTTTTGACCGATGAAAAGTTTCATTTAATATGTAAGAGGAGAATCGGACCGAAAATACAGAGGAAAAGTACACTGAACGTACCACAAATGTAAAATTTGGAATGTAAGTTCCCATTACGATGAACGGCTGAGAATTTTTTTTCATTTATTTTCCTCTGAAAGGGTGAAATAAGGATTGAAGGGTTAAATATGAGCATTGCCGTTTCCGGGGCAGGTGGGACAGGGTACGGCCGGGGCAAGATAAGAGAGAGCGGGGTGGAACCGGGGAGAGAGAATGGGAAGACCAAAGAAGGAGGAGCGAGGAGAGAGGATGGTGGTCCAGAATGTAAATGAGCGAGGGGCGGCCAGGAGTGTAAAAAAATTAAATTAAAAACCTTCAATTTTCTGCTATTCAAAGAATTTATTCCTTTATTGCCTATCAGATGATTGTGATATACCTACTCTATAACCCGAGCAACGTCGGGTCACTTCAGCTAGCTTTGTATCACATTTGAGTGGTGTATTTTACGAGTAGAAATAAGGTAAGTCAGGGAAGGAACTTTTCATTTGGGGCTCAATGGTCAATATTTTAGTTCTGTCCTAATCTCTCTCCGCATTTTCTTGACTAGATGCTAGATACGTGTCAGTCGATGCTTGTACATGCAAAAAGCTCTAGGTAATTTCGCCTCAGTTACTTTCATGTTAAAAAGTTATCTTTTTGATTTGGAGTTTCGTACTAAAAGTAACATAGTCTTCTATATTCTTTCAGAAGTACCTTCAAACACCTATCTTTATAAATGTCTCTAAGGAAAGATTATTTCACGGAATCGTGACAAATTACACTTTGACTTTAAAAAATATGTAGGATTTGTTGAAAAAAAATGCATATAAATATTCATGTCAAATGCGACCCGCAACACTCGGTCTGCTATACCGTTAAATAACTCTTCAACAAAGCGTTCTAAAGCCTTAAAAATTAACCCTTTGAAGCCAACGGCCTCACGGAAACGTTCTTAACAGTGTTATCTAAATGATGAGATATTCTTAGACATTCTATTACATTTTTGCCGGTTCGGCGCTAATAGATACTACCACATTAACATGGAGGAATACAGAATATATTCCTCTATGACCTATACTTCAGTCCTTGGTGCTGGTAGCCATCTTTGTGACGTCACGCATAGAAGACTTAGATTCCTCCATCATATACTATTTACGCTTTCTGTGTACACCATGGTTACGGTAGACTGAGGTTTATCTGCATAATTATTTATTCAAGATTCGCTCTCACTGCAACAACTAGAAGTACTATTAATAGTTGCTTGATACTGATTAAGATTGTTCCTTATGCGTGTAATGCAACCATTCGTTTCACGTTTTGCCGTGGTCTGCAAGTGCTGTGTACCTAATTGCAGAGGGAACTTCGATGGAAACAGACCACATGTACCTATGTTTCAGTTTCACGATACCCTTAGGAAATATTAGGGAGATGTTTAGCATGCGAGAGTTCTCGTAAGAGAATCATAGTTTGAACACATTACAGTTGTCCGGCTAGTTCGTTTTCGGGCTGATCGTATGAAAAAAGTATCGATTAATATGATTGTTCAACTTTTTGTTAATATGTGAAATTAGGTTTAATTGTCATCAATTTGATGATTTAAGTTGTAACGATTCATTTGAATGCCAGAGTGTAGTAATTCACAATGTTTCGCCAATGCATTTGCAGTTTCATTGAAATCTAATAGTATAAATGTCATCTAAACTTATTTTGCTGAATGCTACTTCCTTGTGGTATCGATGACTCAGAATCTACTTCATTATCAATGTAGCATCTTAATTATTATACTCACAGATACAATTTTCGCAAATCGCAAATCAGTCTTCTTTTTAACATGTATAATTTCCTTCGCACATCAAACAACATTTTCTCTTACTTGCTTGTCTCCTCCGACATCATATTTTATATGATTCTTTGACAATTTGCGGCACACATTATACTTAATACTACCAAACCCTCAAAAACGCTTGAGTTTTTCTCGGCTTCCAGAATTACGCCAATCGATTCGTCTTGTCTAGAGGAATAACCTTTATGCGCCGTAAGTCACACAAAGCACGTTTTAATTCCTAAAAACACGTTTTTGAGTTTCAAAAGTTTATTGGAATCTTCTGGATATATCCTCAAAAATATTATCAGTTATTAGGAGACAGAGACGTGCCGAATGACACCATTTTCTCGATTGTTGAACAGAAAGTGATTTAACCGTGAGTGACCGACAGATGGACGCAGGTTACTATACACAGCTTACTGTATAAGGATGTAACTGCACTAAGAAGTCAGAATAGAAAAACCCCGACTTATGTTATTACAAATTTCTAGAGCATGTAGGCAGTGTCAATGCCAATGATGTGTGTGCCAAATTATGCCAATGATGCGTGTGATGGTAAATTTCATACAACACGTGTTACCTCTGGAAGGTAGGCAACTCATCATATACTTGCATTTGAAAGGTCACTTTCTGACTCAGTCAAAGAGATTTCATAGGGCTAGCGCAGGACCCTAAGGATGGGAATAGTTGACTGTTTCGTGTCAACTACTATTGTTATTCGCCCTACACGTGTAGTGGGTGTTTTTATCACGGAAGGTTTGTGTTGCGTTTGTGAGGATATTCCTCCGGCATTCGGCTGGAATTGATAGGAGAAATCACAGAAAACGATCGATCACTAGAAGTCTCCATCAGACGACTACTGAATTCGACTTAGCTACATTACGACAGTCCCGGGAAATTCTGCTCGGCCGACGGGACGTCACTCGCCGGGAAACGATGCGCTGAACTCCTATCGGAACGTTGAGGACGGGAGAGTTTCAGGATTTCGACCTGCAAAATGCATGTTTTCCAGTCGTGTTGAATAGACGGATTGTGATAGCTCGCTCTAAGTTCTTTCAAACAGAAAGTGTTTGTGTATGACATACATAAAATGTGTCAATCTGTTATGTGCTACCCACTTCATCCGGTAAGGATGGGAATAAGGACAGATCGGAGACGGAAGGATTGCGCGTGACCAAGCCCTATTGCATAGGGTGCTGCTCCGGCATTCGTCTGGAAGTGATTACGAAAGCAGCGATTAGAGCAGTCGAATTGCGACCTCGATCCCGACAGACGTCGTAAACCTGCTTATGTTGAATACATACATTAAATTTCCGGCACTCGTCCGAGATCGTCCAGTTACTGGCACCCTGTCTCCTTACCATTACGATCGCAATACCGAAACTGATTGCAATCAATCTTACCTGAGAAATTGCTCCCGTTAATATTGCTGCTAGTAAATAATCTTGAGTAAGAATTTCAATGAAGGAAAAGAGCATTAAATCAAATGTTGTTAGAGTAAACTCATTCCCATAGAAAAGAATTTTATCAAATGAATGACCATTGTCTGTAAAAAAAAGACATCAGTTAGGATTTTGTGATTTCATATGGAATGAGAAAAAAATATCTTAAGAAGGAATCGAAACACCGTGGTAATAAAACTTAAGTTCATTGTCATTTTTGAAAGACAGATGAAGCATTTTTCCTGGAAGAGACATTTCTTATTTTGGGTAAAAACTTCCTCCTGGTACGTATTCACATATTGTTATATTAAGACGCCTTTGGATCATAATTTATATTTGTGAGGGAAACTGTAATAGGTATTTTGAGTGTAGGAAATTAAAGGTATCATTATTTCGGCCAAGACCTTCATAAGAAGGGTGTTTCTCTGTAAGATGAAATAAGATGGGGAAGCATTTGAATGTATTGGAAATAAAATAATTCATTTTTATGGATTAACATCTTTTACATAATTTCTAATAAAAAGAATATGTTTCCAATACAATTATTCATTTCAAAACTTTAATCAAGTTAATAAAAACCTAGAGGAAATGAACGAGGTACTTTCATTAAACGAGGTGGAGTCGTTAACCTTGGACTTCCCTTTCACAATAATGTTTTTTTTTTCAAAATAAACAATTGAATTATTACTCACAAAGACTAATGTATACAATACTTTTGCAAAATTGCAACGTTAATTCCACACTCGGGCTCTTTTTATTCCCATTGTATTATACGAATGGTTTACAAGGAGACGGTCGATCCTTATTTGGAGAACTCAATTTCTTTGTTGAAAGAGGAGATGCATTCGCAATTTTATAATTGTTTAAGAACTTGTAGATATAAAACTATTAATTAGAAAGCTCTTTGTTTAGAATTAAATTCTCGTTCGACAATTAGGTAAATAATTTTAATGTCCGTAATAAGTTCACGTGTGTGCAAGAATTTTGATTGAGAATAAAATACAAGTAAATTACCCCAAACATACAATTACAATATAAAAATACAATAGAATTACAAATGAAATGTTTATTTACAGGTATAAAAATCTATTTGACACTTTGTTCACATTATTTCATTTTTACTTACCTACGAAGAAAACTCCTTTATCCAATGATTCCGAAAACTCTATGTCCAATAATGATTCAGACATCGACTTTTCTTTAACTTCGTAATCCAAATCTACAAGCGCCTAAAATAAAAGTATCAATTGATGAAAATATAAATGCTGGGGTGTAGCTTCTATTAACTGACCTTTCGAAGTATTAATATACACTCTAATCTACATTAGTCTAGTCATAAATAAAGGGTAAACAGGTGACGTATGTATTGAAATGGTTGATTCCTTTTATTTCTAAGATAATAAATACGTGTGAATTGTGTATGAAAGCAAGTAAAATTGTAAGATATTTAAATGGACAGGCTGAAGGGCAGGCTTTATTGTCTCAAATAATTATGAGTCATTGCCAACAATATTATTGTCTGAGCCTCCATACACAGTCCTTTCCAAAAGTACAGGGACTATTTCTTTTTAATGAAATAAACAAGAATAGAAAAAGTGTTTGTTTAATTTTCTACATAATCCCCTCCTCCTTGCACATAAATTTTCTTGCGTTCGTATAGCCGCTAGAATGACCTGGAGATATGCTCTTCTGGGATGGCTTTCAGAACTTTAGTTACGTTCGTTTTAATCACCTCAACACCTTCAAAACATTCACCCTTTATTTCGATTTTTAATTTTCTGAAATAGAAAACAAACTGTTGGAGTTATATCTGGCGAATAGGACGGGTGACGAATGGTGGCGCAAAATAGTGATGAGTATCGAGGAATGGGCTGGCTCATTGTCGTGCAAAAGAAATCCGTCACTACTGCGGTACAATTCTGGTCTCACGCGTCGAATTCATCTCAAAAGTCGACCAAGGACATCTTTGAAGAATGCCGTGTTCACTGTTTGCTTCGTAATTAGCGGTTTCCAAGACAGTTCGTCGCAAACACGTTCGACATTCTCATCGGTCGCCGAGGTTGAAGGATGCTCCTCTCACGAGTCGTCTTCCAGCAATTGTCGACCGTTCCTAAACCGCGCATACCGCTCCAAAACCTTCCTTCGGCTTAAGAAATCATTACCATTCGGCGGTTTTCAACATTTCAAAAGTTTCCGAACAACTTTCTCCCAATCTCGCAAATAGTTTCACAGTAACAAAAATACATCTACTTCAAACGCACACAGGGTGCCACTACATACGTGCTGAAATAACTTGTGGGTAACTAGGGAATGATACTATGTAATTCCAATTTCAACCAATTGTTAGGGAGTTCGAACTTTGCGGTATTGTGATGGGAGCCCCCTAAACCAATCTCAATACACTCGAAAATCTGTATAAAGCTTTTAGGTGTTACCATTAGTACTCAACTGAGTACTACCTATGGGAGATATCGGATGAGATAGTAATAACATGCGGCAGCCAATAAGGCTCTACTACTGTTTGCACTGCCGAGTGGCTCCATCTAAGAGGCCCATAAAGCTCTTAATCGACCGCCAATGCCCATCGAGAGCGAAAAACTACCGATTCGTGCTCCAGGAACTGAAAACACTCTACGAATAAAACTAGTAGGTGCTTGACAGTTCGCCATAATGCCATATTGTCAATGTTTCAATCTTAGTAAAAGCGAAACAGAAGCTTGGTCGCAATCAAGTCTTGTCCTCTCCCTAATTAATAAACAAATGAATCGCTGAGCTCGAATGTCGCAGTCAATCAACTGAGCGTCATTATTTGGGTTCAAAGTGATATTAATTATTATACATTATATATGATCTTAATTATTGTTATATTAAAACATGTGTTACTTGAGCGAGAATTGTGAGTAGCGTGTGATGTTAATAGTTTCGTTGTTGTTAATCGCGTATGAGGTCACGGTCGCTACATATAATGTTGGAAATTCTCACTTATCATTGATTTAGTTTTTCATCTGCTTACATGATTATGAATTAGGTGAATTAATTATGTGATAACGCTCACATTGACTTTTACATTCACTGCACAGCCACACACACACACACACACACACTTCTCATGTGGATCGTGGATACTCGTTTTTCGACGTATAAGATGATGGAACTCATGTACTACCAGACACTTCATCACATGCCGTGGCTTTTACTTCATCGTCTTTGTTCATACTCGATCATCGCATCAGTGCAGCAGAATTCCAGTCGTACTTCTTGCTTTCTCTTACCTCGTTCGTTCAGCACATTAATGTTGGCGCACTTCTGTTGGGTATCAGTAATTGAAGTCTTTAATATTCCAATAGGAGATCACGTGGCAACATAATTTTCCAATAGGAATGTGATCGTTAATCGCGCGATGTGTACAGTAACACCGTCCCTTTCCAAGCCCATCTTTCAACCACATTCTTATTTCACTCGGGGCTTACTTTAGTACAAGGGTTGATTGTTCACACGACAATGACAAAACATTAAGAGATGGATTTTTGCGCAATGAAAAATACCTAACACGTACTTCCATACAAATTTCTAAATTGTGAGAACGAATTCTTGCTTGGACATATTTGTTTATGATAAAAGCTATTTTGCGGGGCCATTGGCAGTAGTTCCGCGCCCATTTTTTCGTCTGAGGCTTTCTTTGAAGGTTTTCCCCGGCGCGGTTCTAGGGGACCTTCTTCAAACAGTTGCGCTACGTGAGCGACCCCCTTGAACGCCTGGGTGTGATTCTCCACTAATGTCGGACTCAGTTAACTATATCCAAACTCTTTGGTTGGGAGAATGTAAGATCTCGTTAGGACGGTAAATTGCCGGAGGGGTTTATTTCTGCCGGGCACCTGTCAGGCTTCTTTTACATGCCTCAAGCATGACAGGTCAACGAGAAGGACAATGCTATATCTCGACCAAGTTGAGAATGACGTTTACAGGACCGCGCCACTGTCTTTGTTCACAGCTGAAACGAAAGAGACGGAGATATAATGCCACTCAACTCAAATTAAAAATGGGACCGTGGCAAAAAAATTGTTCTGTGACATTCGTATAAATCGTTTAATATAACTTGAAGTAGTTTCTCAAAATATATACCAAATTATTTTTTAACTAAGAAGCAACAACAACTATAATGAAGAAAATTGTAAATACTTATGACAGTGAAGATTTGGTACTTTATTGCATCCCTAACAAATCGCTTAAAGTGTGCTAAAAAACATACCTTTTGTTTTCACTAACAGAAAATGTAATTACATTACAAGCGACTTGCCTGCCTGCGAAGAGTCGCACCTCGACGAGGACACACATTTCCCAAAACTACGTTCATAAACAACGCTCCTCGCGACTTTTTCACGCTCCTCGCGACTTTTGTTAGCGAAACCGACGTTACAGACCCGTGTTTACACTGTTAGTTCCACGATCCGCTGCAATAACCTCCTTCATTCTTCAGTTGGTCGTGTTATACCATGAAATTTTCCGCTGTTAGAAAACCCACGCGCCTCAGCCGGGATCGCATCCGCGCACTGGGGATTCAGATGCCAATCAACTAGCCTTTCACCCATAGAGGCGCAATGGAAAGAAAACAATACTGGAGGGCAATGCTTGGACACAATACTTCCTTTTCACTTCTAGGAGAAAATGAAAGCTATTTTGTACAGAAAATAAATCAAAATAACACACACACTACTCGCAACATTTATTGACACCTCTCCAACCTTATCTCCTCTAATAAATAATTTGAGCACATGCAAAACACTGGTATACAATAATAATAGTTAGACATCTTTAAAATGCAAATCATCGGATTACATAAACAATTCTAAAAAGATCAATCAATTTCATTTGTGCTTGTCATTAATTCATTGGAGATAATAAATATTTTACGAGCGAAAGAAAATATTTCTACGTATAATTAATATTAAAGAACACAATTTACTTATAATTCTTTACATTACAAAACAGCAATGCGCAAAAAAGTTTGATTACTCACATGTTCAAGGAATGCCGCCAAAAATTTGTTCATAGTGTGATACGCTTGTACACTTCGATCAACGTTTGTGGAAGACATCTTCGACCTCAAACTTCCTGCTCCTGCACTTGACAGCCTCTTTGTAGACTGCACGATCTGGAAAATTTGGTAGGTCCAGATTAATTTTGGAATAAACTGATGAATGAATAAATAAGTAATGGAAATCAGGATATAAAATTAAGAGCTATATTTCCTTCAAGGCGAACTCTTTGAGGCTTTTGTTGTTGTTTTTTAACGACAGCGATTTCCAGCCATTTTCATTCCTCATGATCATCCACCCTGTGAAAGGCAAGTAGTAAACCACAGCGTGATCTACTCAAGACAGAGAAGAATAAAAAACAAGCCTAAGCTTGAGAACCGATTATGGCACCCTTGACTGATGAATGTTTCCGTGCGCGTAAACTACTATATTAATTAAGGCCGATTTCACCTAGGCTTGTTAACCCATCAACGAGACATTTGGAGCGATTATTTAACGATCTCTTAGAAAAACCAGACATTAGTAAACGAGTCGTTAAAATCAATGTCTCTTGTAAAGAATCGGTTCTCCAACGATTCCCTGTCGTCGATACAAAATGCTCAAATTTTTCTGAACAGTATACAGTAGTCATATTTGGTTTTTGATTATATTCTTTGTGCTAAATATATTTTATGATCTCTGAAGAAACATACGAGATTGTTGCAAACCATCATTTATTTTTTTTACGCTCATTGAAGTTAGATGTCATTTTATGCATACCATAATTCTTATGATTTCTAACTTATTCAGATTTATTTAAAAATAATACAGCAAAAAATACCGATAAGTACTTTTAATAGACGTTTAATACTAAAAAAGTTCATTTAAATCAACAAATTTCACATTATAAAAGCAATGCAATATTACTACACTATCTCGGGAACGTATACGAAATATATTGTACATTGCATATTCGTTAAAAAGTGAAGCTAGTTCCAAAACGAGGATATGCAAGGGAAAATATTTTTGATTTATTACAGCGTCTGTTACACCGATACGAAAAACATATGTCGGGTCCAACTTGCTAGATTTTGCTTCAAGATACAAATATACATTAAAACGTGGTGAATCTCTTTTACAACTCTGGTATATTTAACAGGTCCTTATGTCTCCTTAGGGCGTTAACAAGCCTTAGAAAAATCGACCCTAAAGAACACAAAATATTTTCCCATTGTTGCCATTTAAAACATTGTCATTTTAAATTAAATGAGATTTTGCTTCTTCACAGCTCATACGCTTCTTCAGAGAGTAAACATATGTCTACCACATGGTTTTTAGTCCACTGCCTCGCATGAACGAACATTTTAAGCTTGCAAATGCTACCGTTAACGTAAAGTGACGATTAATAACCCAGGAGGGCCAAACGTTGGTTTGTTCATTGATTAGTGATTCCGGCCACGTCAACTGCTAAGATTATTATCCCCGTGAGTGTAGTGCATGTTCTTATCGCGGGGAGGTGGCAGTGATCTTTCTCCGCTGACTGGCGAGATCCGGCAGCAACCTGCGTCGGCTTGCGGGGATTTTTCCAAACAGGAATCTCCCACAAGTGGGGCACCGCCCCAGCCGGAACAAGCTCTAAGCTCCATTCTGGACCCCCGACAAGGACAAGGAAGAGAGAAAAATATTGCGCGGTCCGTGGTAGGGTATTGCTTCTGCATTTTTCCTGGTCTTTCGGAGAAACCACGCAAAACTACCGATGAGAGCAGCCGGCCGCTAAAATTCTCCTCCAGGCGGCAGCTGAATTCGACCGATCTACATAGTGTCTAAAATCATGCCATCGTCGGTACTCGAACACTGGGACTTCCCGGTCAGAGGCACTGCAGTGACATCAGTTAGTTGATGCCCTCACCCACCTTTTCCGGTTACGGAAACATTGCGTTGTTGAAACGGTGCATATCTTAGCATAGAACATATGTGCAATAATGGCAAATCCCGGGAGGTTACGGAAATATTGTTGAAACGGTGCATATCTGAAGAGATTAATTTTAACGACTTGTTGACGAACGTTTCGTTAAGAGTATGAAGATGAAACCAGCCCTTAGTTCCATATGTGCAATGATGGCAAATCCCGGGAGGAAGTGTTCCTCCGCCGCTGTAACATGAGATCCAGCGCCACACGTCGGATTGCGGAGCTTTCTGCCTCCAGGTATCTCTCCTTTACACCGTCGCAGCTCTGTAATGCGCTTAAAATAAAGGGAGAATTTGATTTTTGTTCAGATGGGACGCGGATATCTATTCGGGAGCTCACAAAAATAAGTCGTAACAAAGCCCCCGATTGGATAACCGTGTCCCAGTTCATCGCTATGAATTCGTCCTTTGTTTTGGTCGGCGTATAAACTCCCGACAGGCCTTCGAGCATGAGTGGTACAGTAGTGCATGTATGTGTATAAGTATGTAAGGAAATAGGAATCAAGGGTTTGGAAGGAAAGATCACACGCAGTCAGCGCACGCCGTTTGCTAAGATACTGGACCACCATTCACATAGGAGAAACCACAGAAAACCCCCGATGAGTCCATCGCCCGATAGAATTCTCTTCCCGTCGGTCAACTAGCAAGCCGGAAGAAGTAGTTGTTGAATAATTTTGACCATTGAAAAAAATATATAAAGGCTCGTTTTAGTGTTTTGGGTCTCTTTCTGTGCACGCGGGAAGACAATAGTAATCAGTCTACTTTTCGATAAAGTGAATGGTTGTCAAAACGTCTACAGTATCCAAATATAAATTATACACTTCGTAACTCTAAGAGGAAACGTAAGCCGTGCATTTCCACTAGTTTTGCTTATTTTCATCACAATTTGTGCATTTTACAACCAACCAACATTATTAATTAATTACAAAAGTGACCTACAGCAATTTTACGTTTTATATTTTGTTATACGTTAGTAATCACGTTTGTTATATTGTAATAAAATAGTGAAAGACGTATATATACAGATTACGTTTAAAGGAATAATTTATAAGTGATCGGCGAGAAATTTTTATAGACAATGGATGGCAGAAGTAAAGTAGAATGTAGGCACGGATATTGTGGACAATATTACAACGACGAAGACTTTCGACAAGATTCGTGAGTAACATAGAGACATCGCGTTTTTTTAATCGTTAAAACATGTGAAAGGACATTAAAGGGCAGGAACAGTGATTGAAAAAATAGGAAATTTAACTTCTGATGTTACATTAGATTAGATCTTACGTGATAATACTTTCTGAGTTTTTTCGTTCTCATATTTTCATTTCTTGGTTAATTCAAATGTTAGATAGATAGATAGATTTATTATTTCTGCAGGTAGGTATAGAACCTGGTGGCAGAACACTACAATTTACATATTACACCTAAGAATACTAATACACTTTAATATTAAAGCATTTTAAGACAATAATAACAATAATATAATAATAACAATAACAGCATTACCTATACACTTTACGACTGTCCTGCAGGGAATTTTTAAGTAATTAATAGACTGCACTTCACTCCACTTCACTTCACTACACTTGCATTTCACGTCGCTACACTACACTTGCACTTGACTTCTCTATTGCATTACACTTCACAACACGTCACGACACTCCAATTCAACGACTACTTTAAATATAATTGTATATTTAACAAACCATTTATTTTTATTGTTCCATTTTTGAATGAAATTTTTCCAACATCTGTTCTCCGTGTCCTGAACTGCATTGTGTCCTTGTGATCCGCTCTACTAAAGTAAGTGGATCTATCGAGTCGAATGAAAATATCTTTCCAAGCTGGATAACCGGGCATACGCTTTGTACATGGCACAGTCTTGCCTTAACCCTCTCTGATTTTTAGAGACTCCCATTCTACTTTCTTTCCTATTGCTGCGGAAAGTAGGTTTACACGCTTTCTCTGTACTCTATTCAAATATTCCTTTTGTGAATTTTTTATAAGGTCCCAACAAATAGCCCCATATTTCATTAATGGACGAACTTAAGATAGGTAAGCTAATTCTCTCGCTTTCGCAGTACTCTTTTTTAGTATTCGCATGTAAAATGCAAAGACCTTCAGGCTTCCCTATGACCAAAGTTAACCTGATTTTCCCAATTTAATTTACTATCAAATATTATTCCAATGTACTTACAGACAGGACTCTTGAAATATTTTCGTTGCCTAAACGGTATTGACTTTCACTATATTGCGGCCCCTACAAAACGTGATGTTTTGCTTTTGAACTATTTATTATACATGCTAGCTTCTAATCTTTTGGACCGCTGAATTGTTGATCGAAATATGAAATAATCTTATTAGATACTGTAGTATTGCCTCTCACCTGGTTTAAGTATGTCCGTAGAAATGGCATCTGCGACCCGGGACTTCCATTTTTCATAGATTTAATTCGCTTTCGCAATGCATTTACGTCTATTTTAAACTGATTGGGTACAGCCTCTCTCGATATTTGAGTATGGTGAGATTTTGTTTTAAAAACGGAACTGAAGTAGGCATCAAATGCGTTCGCTTTGTCCCGATCATCTATTAGTAACCCGTTAGTATCTCTAACGACAGGAATTTCTTCTTTATTTCCCCTTCTTCTGCGAACATATTTGTAAAACCCTGACCAATTATTTCCCTCACTGTCGAGAATGTGTTTTAAAAATGACTCCTGCGCAATTTTCTTTTCCCGCTCTAATTCTTTTGAACAGTTACGAAAAAGTATCCTATGATTTTTACTGCGATGTCTATTATTGAAAGCTTATCTGGCTTATCTGGAAAGATTCTCTTCATACATCGAATTTTCGCATTATAATATTCTGGATCTGTATTTCGTTTTAAGTATTTGTGCGGCACAAACATTTGCAACGCATTATCCAGAATGCTCTTAAACGCGGTCCAAGTTTCCTCCATACCCCCTTCTATTCTCAGAAAACGATCGTACTGGCCTCTCAGGTAGTGGTGAAGCCCTTTTGTGTTTGCCTTCTTGAACTGCCAGATGTTTGTACTGTGCCACTTTTATGTGAAAAATTTATGTCTAAGTCAACTAACACCGCTTTGTGTTCACTTATGCCATCAATGACATCGCAAGACAAGAAAAGCTCTTGCGGCATAATTAGGTAAA